AAGCGGCAGCAGACGAGGCTGAGATGGAAGCAATCAAAACGAAAGGAAAAATTAGGGGAAGGTTCCTCAAGAAAGAACAAAAACGAATCGACGAGCTTACTGAGAGAATGAACGCCCGTGCCGCCACTGCAGCTTCCAAGTCTAGTGGAGCAACTGATGATGGAGACGCACAAGCTGCAATTGAAGCTGCAGAACAGGCTGCACGTGATGCTGAAGAGCTAGCTGCTCGCGAGGCAGAAGAGCTAGCTGCTCGTGAAGCTGAGGAGTTGGCTGCTCGTGAAGCTGAAGAGTTAGCTGCTCGGGAGGCTGAAGAGCAAGCCGCCCGCGAAGCAGAGGAACAAGCCGCCCGCGAAGCGGAAGAGCAAGCCGCCCAGGAGGCTGAAGAAAAGGCTACTCGGGAGGCTGAAGAGCTGGCGGCACGTGAAGCAGAGGAACAGGCTGCTCGTGAAGCGGAAGAGCGAGCGGCGCGCAAGGCAGAGAGGCGCGAAGCCAAAGAAGCAGCAGCAGAAGAGGCGGAACTAGAAGCACTCAAATCGAAATTGAAAACCAAGGGAAAGTTGCTTAAAAAGGACCAAAGGCGATTTGACGAGCTTACTGAGAAGATTAACGCACGTAAAGGTACTGCAGACGCCGACGAAGCGGAGGAGCAAGCGGCACGCGAGGCTGAAGAATTAGCCGCCCGCCAAGCAGAAGAACAAGCCGCTCGTGAAGCAGCAGAGCTAGCCGAGGCCGAAGAAGCCGCACGCCAAGAAGAGGAAGCTGCGGAGGACGCCGAGTTCGAAATGCTAACTGCGAAATCCAAGAAGAAGAAGAAATTGCCTAAAAAGGATCAAGATCGACTAGACGAGCTTACCGAGAAGATCAATGCCCGTACCGCCGTTCCTGCTAGTGACGACTCTACTCCCGATACTGAAGAAGCTGACCGCTTGGAAGCCGAACGTTTGGAAGCCGAACGTTTGGAAGCTGAACGTTTGGAAGCTGAACGCTCGGCTGAACGCTCGGCTGCACAAGCTATGATTGAAGCAGCATGGCAGGCCGCTCGAGAAGCGGAAGAAGCTGCTAAACGGGAGGCCGAGGAAAAGGCGGCCCGTGAAGCGGAAGAGCAGGCTGCGCGTGAGGCGGAAGAGGCTGCGCAAGCCGCCCGTGAAGCGGAGCGGGCTGCAAAAGCCGCCCGCCAGGCTGAAAAGGCCGAAAAGAAGGCTGAGCGTGAGCGAAAAGCGGCTGAGGAAAAGAAGGCTGAGCGCGAGCGAAAAGAAGCTGAGCGCGAGCGAAAAGCAGCTGAGGCGGCTGCATCTAAGAAGAAATCGAAGAAGAGCTCTAAATCCGATGATAAAAAGTCTAAATCAAGCAGCAAAGAAAAGGATGACGACAACAGCAACAACAATGGCGACGATGATTTCGATCTTGACAATGTGGACTTGACGGCCGAACAGGCTGACGAGATCCTTGCGTTGGCGCCGCCAAAGAAACCCAAAACCGAGGATCCTTTCGCATTCTGGGGTGCCAAGCACAGTCCGAAAATCTCATCTCCAGAAGTGGCAACTACCCCTGAGCCTGAGCCAGAAACAACTGAGATGCCAATCGATGAATCATCAAGATCTCTGGAAGATTCCACTGCAGAAGACGCCGCCGCAGAGGATGCTCCGCCAACCTTCTTCAAGGCCATCATTGACGATTGGATGCCGGGGAAAAGGGCTGCCAAAGGGAATAAGCTCGCTGAGAGGCTTAAAAAGTTCGAGCCTGAAAGATATGAAGATTCGGAGGGTGACCTGATCGACGTGCTTCCTGAAGCACCAGCGCCGCCACCTGCACCCCAGAGAGACGAAGACCTGCTTCCCGGCAGCTTTCCAATGGACGATGGTGAGGACGAAATTGTCGAAATCATTGATCTCTCACCACCGGTAGAAAAGAAGCCGAAGAAGAGTAAAAAGAATAAATCTCGAGATAATGCCCGCCCCCCTGTGCCGCCCGCTGTGCCTCCACCACCGCCTGCAGTACCTGAAGCACCTCCGTCGCCCTCATCACCTCCGGCCGAGCCTAGGTCATCCAGGAAAGAACGAACCAAGATTAGTCGCGATGGTGGCGCGTCATGGGGCATGTGGTCCGCCTCAGCTACACCTCTGAAGGAAGAGAAGAAGTCACCTAAGTCCAGATCGGAGGCTAAACGACCAAAGAAAGAGAGAGAAGAAAGAGAAGAGAAAGCACCCTCGAAGGGCTCAGGCTCAGATAGGGCAGAGCGACAAGATCAGAGATCAGCACCGTCTTCTAAGCCACGCATGAACAGTCTCTTCCAAAGTACCCCTCCTCTCTCGCGTTCCATGTCAACTCGCGACAAGCGCACAGGCAAATCCAGCTCAAGACGCCACTCCGTCGAGATGAGCGGTGGGCTTGTGTCGCCTCCGCCCGAAGAGGTACCCGACTTAACCCCGAAGGCGGCACGTGTTCTAGGAGTAGACAAGGGCCACAGTCGACGAACCTCGAGAATGCGTGCTACCGAAGAAGACGACGATATTGTCATGGTCGGAAGCCGCGACCTTCCGTCAAGCCCTGACAAATCAGCGCGCAGGCGATCAAAGGCGAAGCCAGAAGATGATTATGGCATGGGCAATGCAAGGGGTTATGGTGACGCGCCACCTATGAGACGATCGAACTCCAGTACTAAGAAAGGTATCTCTGGTCTTTTCGGTGGCCTGATGTCCTCAAATCCTCGCTCTGAGCCGCGCCCTGAACCACGCCCTGAACCACGCCCTGAATCACGCCCCGAACCACGCCGTCGAAGCACATACCATGCAACCGACGAAGAGGGAAGACCTGATAAAAGAGCAAGGCGTTCGCGGGGGGTGAGTAACCTGGAACCGGAAATCGATCCCGATCGTGAAGCTCGGCGCGCTGCTCGACGGGCAATGAGAGAGCAAGAAAAAGCTGAAGAGGCTCGACGTGCGAAAGAAGACGCCCGCCGTGAGAGACGCAGACGTCAGGAAGAGGAAGAAGAAGAAGCGCGTAGACAAGAAGAGCGAGAAGCCCGACGACGAGAACGCAGGGCTGCACGGGAGCGCGAAGCCCAACGACTCGCAAACGAAGAGGCTGAAGCGAGGGAGGCCGAGAGGGCGGAACGTCGCCGCCGCAGATCCGAAAGAGAAGCCGCTGCTGCTGAAGAAGCAGAGGCGGAAGCTCGCCGGGCTGCCCGAGCTGAACGACGGCGTATGCGACATACGGAGGGGTACGATGATGACGAGGAGCGCCGACGAAGACGCGACGCTAGGCGAGCTGAGAAAGCTAGTCGCGATCGTTCCGCTCCTATGGATGATTATGTGTATCCTCGAGAAAGGTCTTCCAGGCACACAGACGACGAACGTAGCAAGAAAAGGACGCCAACCTGGCCACATTCAGGTACCAGCTCGTGGGTAAAGGAACACTCGGATGCGGGCCCGCCCCCGGAGGATGGGCCGATGACGGATGCTCCTCCAGCCACAGATGACGAAGAAGCTAGACGAGCTGCTCGTCGAGCTGCCCGTCGCAGAGAGAAGTACGGAGACGCAGATAGAGAATACGAGGATGACCAGAGGCGAAGGCGCGCACGACGCGAAGAGCGTGAGCGCCGAGATCGTCGGGTAGGCGGGTCAGACGGTAGCGGAGACAAGGCGCAGCGGGAGCCATTATTCATGGATACCACGCCTCGAAGTAGCTGGTGGAGGAAACTGACGGGATCATGATGACTGCCCAGCACGGTCTCTTGAGGCGCGAGAGGAGTTGGTTGTTAGTTGTCAATACTACAGAGAACATGTTTTGCTCAGCGAGTGTATTATGTTTTTTGGGACCGGACTACATACATTTATACCCTTTGGACCTATTTCTATCGTGTACTGTACTAGGATTGGACTGTTTGGCCATGCCCTCTATTGGCTACGACACGGCTATCTGCTGGAGGAGAGACGGTGGCCCTAGATGGTGGCATGGATGACCTAGACTGGGAATGGAGATGGGGGTGTGTGGAGTTGAGTTGTGTTTGCGAATTTGTAGTACATGTATGTCTCTAGTATGGAGAGGGTGAGAGCAGGTGTCATCACGGATTCGTGGCAGATGTGCCGGAATTACGCATAGAAAGCAGGCGACAACATGTCTTGTACCAGGTAATGCCACCACATAGTTAGTTATACCCTTTGAAAGCCAACACAGAGCGATGAATAGATCAACCTAAGCATCTTATTATATAGATATTCTTCTCCCAACTTTGCTACGATACAACGGACTTAGCCATATACCTCTCCCTACCTAAGCTAAGGAGAACATAGTACATTTAGTAGGATGCGCTGTATGCGGTATTAGCCAGTAGATAGATAGCCCCGAGACGCAAGCAACCGCATAACCATAATCAAACATGAAGCACCAGCATACAGTATATGGCCTATGATAGCAGCACACATAGTAATATTCCCTAGGGATGTAGTATAATTACAGGATATACATGTAATTCTCTTGTAGGTAGCGTTCAGACTGGTTGGGAGCCTGAGAGTATATATCAGGCTCATATGAAGAACAAGGCTATCAAGACTTTTAAGTTGTCTGTCTATTCCAATATGTAATTCATCTTCAATCAGAGAATAACCTCATGCATCTTATAGGATGTCAGCTACATATGTTATGCAAGTTCCCTTGCTTCCATTAGGATGTAAGTAAAAACTACCTAGAGCTACACACATACGTAAACACGTAATGGTAGGGATACCTAACTCCCTTATTCACAGCCGCGTGAACACCCGTAAGAGCACATGCAATATATACTTACCTAAGTAGACAGCTGCCATATAAGGTACCATTTGTTTGTATGTCACATCTGCAGTTGCCAAGTGAAGGAAACCTCAGCCTCTGTCTGGTACGTACCCCGGTACCCGCCGGAGGTACACCTGCCTTTTCGCGTCTCAAGCAAACAAACAAGACACACACAACCCAACATCGATCGACGTTATAAGTGCCAATAGACCTCGACATCGGCAACAATAGCACCAGTGGAGTAGAAGTCTAACTCATTTCCCTCCCATTCTCCCATAGACAAGGAAGGAAAAGACCTGGGTGCAAGTCCCGGCTGGTGCAATTCTTTTTTTTTTTTTTTGTCATTTATTTCTACGTCTTGCTTTTTTTGCTATAGGTTTCGTGCTGGCAGTTACTTACTTATTTTTATACAGTCATCTTTTATTCAGCTACGTGGAAATAATGTCTGTTCCTAGAGATGGCTTCCCTTGAGCAGGTTTTGTATTCCCCCCTCTGTTTAACAATAATAAATGCGAACATGGCTGGTGTTAAAGCCTTCCTTCCTATTCTACCCAGCCTTCTAACTATCACCACCCCTCCTATTAACAAATAACTTTCTTCTATGCCATCGACATATACTTAACTGGCACATTACTAATATTTTTAATTAGTACTAGAGTTCAGGTTTTATCTAATTAGGTATAAGGCCCCTTTCACATCTCACCATATCTAAAACTCCAAGAAAGCTGGCTCCTCATAAAGCAATCACCACAATGAATTGGGGCGCTTTATGCTCTTTGAGAAGGTCAATAATATTTTCCATACCTAGAAAGAATATGGGCCCTATTTATCTACCCCCCCGGTCTGAACAACGCAATGTCAAAGACAAGCCCACCAAGACAAAGCAGTCGCAAGTATTCTTAGCATTAACAAAGTTTGCCGCCTGATACCTATATATACGAGATGAGCAAATGCATCTCAGTATCTGTCTCGGACGGTAGCACACAAACAGGTAAAGGGTAGGGAAACAAGTCAAACCTAAAGAAAAGTAACGACAACACGTCACAAATAAATCATGTGCTACGCAGAAAACAAACATATAGGCTGCCAGATCTGTGGCACCACCATAACTTCCCAGAACGGCATCAAGCACAAGTGCTTCGACGTCATGAAATCGAACAAATCGTTCGGTAAGTGTGGCCGAAAGGACGGACCTTATAAGACATTAGTGAAGGAGGGACTCTGTATGGCTTGTAGGAGCTCTGCCTAGGGCTAAATATGACATGTAGGATATGTCATTTGACTCTTATATATACAATAGGGTAATAATAACAAGGCTGTTGCTTCTGAATATGCGGTATGAGCCAATTCTCATCACCCCCTGCGTCTACGTGCGGTGTGATAGGTTAATAGGGCTGAAAATCATATATAGATCGTTTCTATCCTTGTTTTCTTGAAAAAAAAATATTTCGACAGAAATTGAGTACAACATAACAAGGCTTGAGCCATTGGTCCCAATTAGCGAGGACTCAAACGAGTAGTCACAAGTAGATGTTTACGATATGACAGTCAAGTGCCACTTTTATGCATATTTCTTGTTGACGGCATTTTATTAGATGTAGATCTAGTAACCGAACGAACTCCATGAGCCAATAAGCCTAGGATACACTATATAATGCTTATCCCTTGCTCCAATTACATGAACCGTAGTATTGCTGAAAGTGATTACAAAATAAATATACATTCGCACTAGTCCGAGCGGTATCTACACCCACTATCAAACAAACCCAATATGCCTCCTGCGGCTTCACCAGCTCGGGATCAACAAAGCCAGGATACATACGTCCAACCTATCATGGAACCCCGTGAGGAAATCCTCGGGTCTCCTGTGCGCCGCCGAAGACATTAACACCGTAGGACTAGTAGAACATTGAACTTATCCCGGAGCGCGTACGCCGTAGTGTTGCCGAAATTCTCGAGATCTCCCCTCCCCAACCCGGTGGCATCGAAAATGATGAGGAGCAGAGATGCTGTGTGCCTTTCGACCGATCCATGTGAAAAGCCTCCCGATGTGCTCCCGCGAGAACGCGTGTGAGCGCGTGAAGTCGAGGCTCCTGGAGAGGAAGTGGCACGGCACGTCGGCGGCGGCGTGCAGCGCCGGAGGCTAGTGAGCCCTCCTATGATGTCCAGCGGAGAGCGATGGGTGTCTCTGCTCCACAGGGGACGCTCGAAGAGCCCCGTGCGCCGGAACTCGGCTTCGCTGCCGTAGAACGTCCCCAAGACTACACCGACCTATTGGTAGGGCTGAGGCAGCTCTAGAATCGTTTGAACAACGGGTCCTGGGCTAGAAAGCTACATATACACTACCGATGGATGTAGGAGCCTTATCAAGCCTCATTTCCGTCTCTGGCGTATGGAAACCATGAGCGGTATCGCATACCGGTCCGCGACTATAACAAATTGGTCGCTGTGGCTTGGGTCTAAGCAACGACTTGTTCTTTGTCATCAGGCGGTCACTCGGGGCTACATATGAACGGAAGGCCTTTTGGTGGTCGTGATTATACAAGGGAAAAGCTGTCGTTTGTCTTTCTCATCGTATGTGGAAATCATTAGTCAAGTCATTTACTCGTAGAATTAATTATCTAGCTATTTGTGTCCCAGGATGCTAATTTCTCTGTACGTCTCTCCTGACTAGAGCTAAGACGAGATGTGAGATTTAACCTCCATTAAAGTAAGAGTGAATGATATTTTCAAAAGTATATTCGTGATGTGACATCAATTAATAGTAGTTCAGCTACCCTTTCCCCATCCATTTGTTGAGAAGCCGGCTCCGCAATATTGGACATTACGTTGTCCGGCGGGCTTGATTACTCCTTGCTTCAATCCAATCCGTTCAAATACCACAACGCCTAAAACGGATATTGCACTGCAATCGACAGCTGTACCAATCCAATGCCACGATCCATAAGCATCGCTAATCAACCCTTCTCAGGTATAGAGGTATTCAAGACAAAGCATAACCGAGGTTGGAGACCTCCCCGGGTGAAACATATTCTTTTTGATGATCCTGGTATGCTTGCTCCTAGGAAACGCCATTCCCCCATCCGCCGTCCTTGAACTTAAGCAAAACAAGTCGTTCCCTTGCTGTCGTTAAGAGATGATTTCGTAACGCATTTCAGGTAAATAAAGATATAGTATAATGCGGTACCAAATATAATGCAACCAAGTTTATGGTGCTAGGGGCTTAAGCCGATGAGGTCGTCATGGGGGTACACTATTGTACAGGATTCTGTAGGCCGAGAGGAAGGAAAGTAGAACGGAGCATGTTATTCTTGTTCTGTGTCGCTTCCTTCATCCTCGGAACTCTCGAGGGGGCCGTACTTAGCCCTGTATTTTTCAACCTCGGCCCTGTACTTTGCAGCTTCGGTAGCTTCAGCCACCTTTTTGGCAATGTGGGCAAGGATGATTGACATTGGTGCGCGGAGATCTTCTAGTTGTTTGATAGGACCACCGCCAACGGCAGTATGCCGCAGAGACAAAGTTGAGATACAAGTCTGCAGAAACCAATTAGTGAATCACGCCAACCGTGAGAACTACATGAGAATGGGCGGCTTACCTCAATGCGGCTCACTTGGTGTTCCATGAAATTGAATAAGAAACGGTCTGTGACTTCGCCGCCACGCTGTTGCATACGCTCGAGTAGCTCAGTTTCAGGTGGTTGCAACCCCCTCCCTGACATCTCCTCTAAAGAGCTGCAAAGCATCTCTAGGCGTAGGCTAACTTTCCATAGGGCCCAAATCATCTCCGGCTCGATACCAAGCTCGCTTCCCGGGACGAGCCGTGCAGGCTGGTCGGACATACCAATCGATCCAGCGGGGACCATGTGGTAGTCTATTCTACCAGCTAGTGCGTGTGGGTAAAGAGAATAGACATATTCAGGGTTTTCGAGTCCCTTCAGTTTTCTCTCACCCATTTCCTTGACCTCGAAACCTTGGGAAGTAAGTGATTTCAATTCCTTCCGGATAGCTAGTGCGGTTGCCGTGTCATCAAATGCCTCGTCCGAACCCATAGATGCAGTCCGATCATTTTCCTGATACGTCTCGAGACATCGCTGAATTTCAGAGATAAAATCTGCAGACACCGCAATCTGACCGCCATCGGCAACTGCAGAGATACGAGAAGCTTTGTTGACCATTGGTCCAAAATAGTCCATCCGACGAGTGACGGGGTCGATCTCAGCCACAGGCTCACCATAATGAATACCCATTCGAACGGAAAGACCCTTGAATATGACATTATTGTCTTTATCGAAAACCTCCTGACATGAGACTGAATTAAGCACTTCAGAAGGCCAATTTACCTCTAGGAGTTGCATCTGAACAGAAAAGCACCAAAGTAGCGCGGATGTTGCGGTGGGAAATGATACCATAAACGCATCACCTTCTGTTTTGACTTCGTATCCACCAATCCGTCGGAGCTGCCGCCGCATAACCTCGTTGTGAAGTTTGATAGAGGACCTCATTGCATCGGGATACATCTCCCATAGATTGGTCGAGTTTTTGATATCCGTGAAGACGATAGAAGGTTTGTCTGTTGGCGCGGGTACTTCGGCTTCGAGCCGAAACAAATCCGAGTCAAGAACGCCGCCTTTTGGTTTCTTGCCTCGTTTTGCTGGGTATTGAAACTCGTCTGGAACGCCGGAGGGGTACAAAGACATGCTCTGCCCTCTATGCAGGCGCGTCGACCGCTCTTGTCGTCGTTTAAGGTCAGAAACGCTAACCATCATTACCATGATCTTGTTAGTTGAGCCATAAGCCATGGCAAGATCGCGTAACTTCTGTGAAGCCCGCATGAGATCCCCTCGCTCAGACCGTGAGACGTCAACAATTAGCGTAGGTTTGAGGTATTCCCATAGCTCCCTAGTCGCAATTAAAATTGTTTCGTCCTGGGGAGTGATTTGAATATGGCTGATATCAGGGGCTGCTTGTACAGCCGGCATCAAGTCGACATAGCCGAAAGCGCGAGAGACCTCGAGAAGGTCGTTTAACTTCCCTTGGCGGGATACCCAACCGCCAGCATCTCGAATGCGCTGGCGTTCTGTCGGCTCAGCCGGATCGTGTTTCCGGGTTAATATCTTGTGAGAACCATCGGACTGGATAATCATTGCTTGTGCATCGCCCACATTGGCAATGTATAGGTCTTGATTTTGGAGGTACGCAATAGTGGCAACGCCTCCTGAGTTGAGATCCTCTTTGCTTAATACGACAGGAGCTGTGGACCCACGATGGACGCCAACTGGTCTTTTCTCTGTGTGTTCAATAGCTACGGTAACTAAATCTTTG